CTCTTTGTGACTGTTTTTTGAATGTCGGATAATCTATACGCGAAGTCTGCTGTGATTGGTTGTTGAATCAGTCTTGTTCATATTTTCTCACCACCAATGTTTACGACATACCCATTGACGTAAAATACTGTCTACCATTTTTGGCTAGCCTGCCCTCACCACAAGTGAAGTGATTAACACACTCTACCACTTTACTCTCTATCATTAGACCAGGAGTCGATGTAGTCCAATCCTGTAGCATCATCTTACATTTGACAGGAGTAAATTGCATGCCAAACATACGAAGATTCTACTCAAGATGTTGTGAAGACTGAATGTTTTCAACTTCTTCATCTGAAAAAACTATATTATCAGTAGAGAGAAGACCAGTAGTTCAGTGAAGTTTCTTTTTCGGTGAATTCATTTTCATAGCTGTACAATCGCAAATATATATATATATATATATATATATATATATATATATAAAATTTGTCAAACGAAAATATAATTAGTAATTTCCTGGTGAAGTTACGCAATAAAAAAGGCGTTCAGAGGAATTGGGTGTTGATATAAGAGGGTAGTAACAAACGTTTGTTAGAGAAGAGCTACGTAACAACATGAATAGTTTGATGAAAGAGTTGCGCTCAGGGTGAACATGGAAACAAAATTGAATACGGAATCACATAAGAGTTTTAAAGCAATACAAGAGTTCTAAGTAGTTAGAAAAATCGGCGAACAAGTTAAAGTTAAGTCAAATCAACAGAGTTGTTACCGTGATAGTAGAAGTGGCTGAATAATTTTCTTTTGTATGCATAGTTCTGGCTCTTGTAACTGAGTGGCTAGGGATTCTGCAGTATAAAGAAGACGGAAACATAATTTCTTTGACAGGTTGTTCTTCACTTTGTAGATTACTTTGAAAAAGGCGTTTGTTGAGATGAAATGACCAGTGGTGACGAGATGTTCGATTATTGCACTCCTTTTACGGCTATTACTTCCTTTCTGAAGCCACTCTGGATAGTGTTCCTTGACCCGTTTTGACAGGATGCACGTCCAAAGACCGATTTACCTGGCTCCACAGCAACAGGCGAACTGAAAAATACACATAAAAGTGGTCAGGTGCGAGATCTTGTCCTTTGGACTTCTGCAGATTAGTGGGTGACTGGAGAACACTACTCTCAGTGTTCCCGCAAAGAATTTCTTCTTAAAGACGTGGAAATTCTCCTCCTAAGGATATCACTGAGTAGTTCACCTTTGAAGTCGAAGTTCAAACATATTATCCGCACATTCTAAGTTAACAAGCTCAATCCTCAAGTCACGAAAGTCAACCAGACAGTTTACGTCTCCCTGCATGGCTCAGTCCTAAAGTTGAAGACGTCGTGTTTCGGTTTGACTAGCACTAAGTCTTTTTCAAAACAATCATTAGTTAGTTAATATTACTAGACAGGGAAAAGTGGTTGTATAGCAGACGCAATACACAGTCTAGCCCTCTATCCCTACCTTTTTATGAGAAGACTTAACCTTGATGTGTGACCCTTTTTTGCTCAATAACGAAACGATAAAGAGAATATGCAATTTAAATGGCCAGTTTCGCGGTATTGTTACTTTCTCCTGTCTCAGTGTAAGGTTTTTTCATCTTTTCGATGAGATGATTGTTCATATACATAGGTTAGTCCGTATGATAACTTGCACTTAAATATGTGTTAACCAACCTCTTCTTTACATATTTGTTGATCTCTGACGAAATCTCAGCACGGATACAAGGGGCTCGTTTCGCATTTGCCAGTTTACGCCGTCTCTGGCGTAGACGAGATATTCGACTATCGACCAAAGGGCGAGTGTACTGCTCATCAGTCCGCTCCGTCCTCCTTTATGGCCAGCTGTGAGACCTGGTCATTGAGAGTAGAAGACATGAAAAGGCTGGCTAGCTGTCTTCGATCATAGGTGCCTGCGTTCTATCTCCCGTGTAAAGTGGCATACTAAGTTGAGCAATATTGAGGTTAGGCATCGTTGAGTTCTAGGTAAACAGGGGAAATCAATCGACGAAGTTGTGAAGTTACAAAAAGACTGAGATGGTTAGGACATGTGTTACGAATGAATGTCTAGTCATCGCCTTCCTCGACAATGGGTGATGTTAGCGGATATAGGGTCAGGCTGGAAAAAAGCTAGCGGCGGTCAAACCAAAACTTGGCTTCACCAGTCAATGAAATCTACAATAGTTAGTCTAAGCCGGCCACGTAGGAAGGTGTAAACTTCCTGACTGGTTGGGGTCCTCGGGACGGGAAAAACCAATAGTTGGAAGCAATTGGTGACATGGCTCAAAATCGTTCTCAGTGGCTGGCGCAGATGCATCCACTCCTTGTGACTTATGATCTCCAATGTAACTGTTTTGTTCTTCGTTATTACTCTTCCTTTATCTCACACCTCTGCTTACTGTCTCTATTATGTTTTTCTTGTACTTTCTTCTCTTGGTTTGTGTGCTACAAGGAGGGAGTGTGGCAACTTGAAGTGCCGCACATATGTGCAAAGTTCTATGTTGAAAATAGACAGACAGACAGATTTGTTTTTTATTCACCCAAAATAAAAGTCTTTAGAAGAATGTCTAACAGAATCTTGCTCAATTCTCTCAATGAGTTTTGTTTTGATGTAATTAACAGAATATTACACGCGAACTGTAATCATCATTATTTAAAGAAATAAGACATGCACAGTCATTTACTTTTTTCATGTTTTTTTTCTCTTTTTGTATTGACATATTTTCTCATAGCCAAAAATATCATTAGAGTGCAATTATGTGAGAGAAAGAAAAACGTGTCCAATGAATGTATTTATATATATACAGTTGTTCATGAGAATGCATCTGATATATATATAAATATATATTCACATTGACTGTTTAATTAATGTGAAAGAGTAATTTATGCTTATACACGAATGTATCTTTTCCCGTGGGTGTGTGTAGACATGTTGGGTGTTGGAGGGGTTTATGTAAACTTTTTTGTTTGCATCAAAACAATCTACTACAGAGAGATTAGAATAAGGTTATTTACAAAAACAAAACAACAATACCAATAATAATAATAATAACAGTGATAGTGAATATCAATCAAAATGAACGTCTTATTGATTATTTGTTTTCAGTATGCTTACTTATACTAATTGGTAAACACACAGTTAACTGTGTCAAGTAGTAGTTTGTAGTGAGTATGTTCAGTTTATCAGTTATCATCTCCACTGTATGTGTGCGTGTGTGCACTACCAATACGTGCACAGATGTGTATCTGTTGTCAAATTATGGATAGACTAATAAATTAGTTTATCGAGGGGTTAATTAAAAATGAAATGCCAAGAAAAGTAGTCACTGGGGCTAATTTAGTGATGTAATTTAGTTTACTATGACTCTTAATGATTCAGGTGTCAATTTCTTCTTTGAATCACCCCCCATACGTACGCATATACACTCTGTGCTCCTAGGTAGATAGTTATCACGGAATATCAGCTTTTATAGCATTGTAGGGAGCTTTAGGCTGTCTAGTTGGGGTCTTTAGAATGCCAAGAACCTCAATGACTGTTATACCTGAAAATCGTTCTCAAAGGTACAGATGCATTCACCACCTTGTGATCTCTTCTGTATCCATTAAACCGTCATGATTTTCTATGCTATCATTCTTCCTCCTTCACGTTTCTGCTTATTATCATTCTTCTGAATCCCTGATTTTATCTTTTTTTCTCTACATGTGTGTGTATGATATGCTACCGTACATCTGTGCAAATTTCTATGTTGAAACTCACTCAGGTTTGTAGCAACCTGTGTAACATTACAAGGATGTATGAACGTTTATGGGTATAAGATCGTATTAAAACTTGCGCATTTATTATCTGTCAGCTATAACTATAGTGTACAATACTTTGACAGCTAGTTTAAATAGAGCGTTCTTAGTTCTTAGCTTTTTCACGCTTGAATATGGAGTAGATAGATATATCAAGTTTACAAGGTCGATTGTCACATTTAATCGTAAGGGTTTCCCTTATATGTTACACACTGGCTACACGCAATGAAACATAATGCTAATGAAGTACTAGATGTAGTAAACTTTTGCTTAGACACTAGTCAGTAACTAGTGTAATGTGTCTAGTTCTTTGTATGGTGTAAACTGAATTCTATCAGTCAAGTTTGCAATGTGGCCGCCGTTCTAGGTGGCTCGTCATCACAGTGGACCTAGGTTTCGTCCTAGTTGGCATTCGTCAGTAGGGCGTATCTGCAAGCTTGAAGGAACTCATGTCCCTTCTCAGACTGGAACCCATGTCTAGGGACATGAGTTCCTTCAAGGCTGTAAGTACGCCTTACTGACGAGTGCCAGCTAGGAGGAAGCCTAGGTTCGAAGCTTCCTGCCGATTGCCTACAACCAAGCCAGTTGGCCACGTAGGAAGGTGAAGACTTCCTGATTGGGTTCCTCGGGACGGTGAAAACCAATGGCTAGAGACAATTGTCGATATGGCGCAAAGTCGTTCTCAGTGGCGCAGATGCTTCCACTCCTTGTGACTTATAATTTCCAATAAAACTATATTTTTCTTCGATCTTACTATTCTTTTTATCTCATATACCTGTGTACTGTCTTTATTATGCATTTCTTCTACTTTGTTTTCTTGCTTTGTGTGCTACAAGGAGGGAGTGTGGCGACTTGAACTGCTGCACATTGGTGTAAAGTTCTATGTCGAAAATAGACAGACAGATATTCATGCTTCAGATGTCCGAATCACTCATCCATAAGACGCGTATAAATGCATTCTAGGCATCGAATGCAATACTGTGTCTACATCTTAGTCTGGTTATTAGACTATAATTAAAGCTCATTCTGTGTACACAGAATGTAAACTCACCGAAGCTAGTAAAATCAACTTCATTGTTTCAAAATAATTGCTTGATTCTTATCTTAATATACACTCTTATATATGAAGTATATTAATTCAACTTGCCAACATTCTTTACATTCTGTCTTCCTCTCTTTTCTACTTTATTATAGCATAAAGTTAACTACTACAGAACATATCAGTGCGGTAACTGCATCGACAACGTCTCCGCAACCATTACCAACACATTCAGTTAGTGTAGTTACAACTAACAGTGAAACCTTGACAAGTGTTAATAAAAATACCACACTAGATGCCTACAATACTGATTCACAATCTGTACAAAATATTCAACAGCGTAAAAGTCAACTGACAAGTTTATATGCTCCACAACCATATGAAGCTGTAACTGATGCTAATAAAACACATTCAACTATGTCCACCTCTGATTCATTCCAGTCACGTATTAAACCACCTTCGATTACAGTCAAATCGTTAACAGAATTAACTAAACAACTGAGCACACTGAAGACGACTACGACAACTTTTAAAATTGAAGAGTCAACTAATAATTCAAAACATGTAGAGAATAATTCAACATCGAATACATCATTTCAGGCATCAGAAAATAATAAGATAAATAATGTGAGTTAACTGTTTGAAATCTTGATACTTAAAGCTTTATTTTTGAAATAATAAGAAATACATTTCTAGTCAGCATGTTTATTAATTATTTAGACTTCCTCTCTGATCGATTATAATAGTTGGTTCCTCGTGGCACCATCGGCTTGAGTAGGGATGCTTCAACGATGCCTTTAGGTTGATTTTGTGCTATTTCGTTGATTGTGTTTAACAGTGAAGACAGGAGCTTTGTCCTACTTGGAACTCGTCATCTGCATCACCTTCACTTCTCAGTGAGTGGTTGTGCTATCAGTCAAACACGAGCTTAGAGGCCGTTGCTTAACAATCCTGAATTCCAATCAACCAAATGTTAAAATATCTAGTGTCATATAATCAGTTTGAATTTTAGTTAGATTTTGGGTTTTTGTAGGGATTTTATACCATGTCAGCTTGGAGTCTTTCACGAACCAGCATCATTTATAGACATTATTGGGAACCAGGGTGCACTGAACAGTCGTTTCTGCCTAGTTTGGGACACCCGTTACCGTACTAGGAATCGAATCCGGGAGCTTCACTTTACAATGTCAAGCTGATTGGTCATCCAGCCACTGGAGGTGGTATCCACTGACCCGAATACTCTAACTATGAAAATAATCTCCAACTGATTGACGGTTACTAGATGAATGTCCTGAAGCTGTAGTGATTAGGCGTGGCCAGTGGAGGGTCTGTCATGTCAAGGTGACGTGGATACTAGTCAATGGCATCGGCTAGGGTAGCTCTGTGTCACGAATTGACAAAGTTAAATCTCATGGGTCATTGGATCTCGCGCCAAGTGACTGAGTGATCAACTCGATCACTGTCTGGGTTGTGAGTGTTCACAACATTCGAAGAGTTCCAAGCTAGGACGAAACAGCTGTCCAGTGCTCTCTGGTTTTCAACGGTTTCTCTAACTGACGTTAGTTCGCGAAAAAATTTTCATTGTAGTTAATATTGTTTTTAAAGTGTACGATGGAAAACACCGCTAAAAAATCAATTCTTATCTAAATAGTGATTTAAGATATTTAAGTAAATTTTATGGGGGTCAATGCCTTGCATCAATTCTTTTAAATTTCAGCTCTGCTTTAATCTTTCAGGCTTAGATGATTTAGTGCTGATTGACTGAGCATGTGACTAGTGGTCATTTATGGTATTATCAACCTGCTCGTCAGAAACACTCCTGAACCATTAGTAAAGCCTATAGAGACGGAAGGCTAGGCATAAGACTAGCAATCCCACCCCATAAAAATAAAAGCACTGCTACCGAAATTTCACAACTGTAGCTTCAAGCCGTATGTTCTAGTAGGAATGTAAAGGAATAAAAGAGTCATAAAAATAGTCATAATAATTTCGTATCTCTGTACAGCTTTTAACTTCATTAATACGCCTGTTTAGGTAGCGTTATGAAAAGGATATGATTGTAACATACATCTTTTCCGTAGCGGTTAGGACGCTCGCCCACCATACACACGGTCCGGGGTTCAAACTCTGGCCGACGCACTCCTTTACCTCTCTAAGCCAGAAATAATGCTGGTAAAGAGGAAAGGTTGGGCATGAGGCTAGCAACCCCATCCTGTCTGTCTGTCTGGATTCAACATAGAACTTGGCACCGAAGTGCACCAGTTCGAGTTGCCACGTTCCAAATAGCACACACACAAAGGTAGACAAGAAGATGAGTGGAGAGAATCAATAGAGTTTGACAAGTATAAGAGTGAAACAGAATGGGTAATGGTAGAAAGGAATATGCAAGATTACAGAGACTGAATACATCTGAGCTGGCCATTGACAACGATTTTGAGCCATGTCACCTATTGTCTCCAGCCATTGATTTCTAGAGTCAGTCCCGAGGGCCCCAACCCGGGAGTCGGCATCTCCCTACCTGAATCAGTTTAACTGTCAAGGATTTCCTGTAAATATATCCTGTAAAATAAACACTGCTATGGAAACTTCAAGCCCCTAGCTTGAAGCCCTATGTTCCACTGGGGAACGTGAATGAAAGAAAAATACATCATTTTCAGTGAACATTAGTTCAGTTACATTTAGCTTATCCCGAATATATATGATATTCCATGACAGGAAAATTAGTTGGAATCGTTGTTTGTTATCCTAGTTACCTCAGACAAAATTACTGCAACTAATTTACTTGGTATAAGCGTCAGTGGTTCAAGGGTGGAATGCTCTCCAAACATGAACGTGGTCGGGATTCGATCCCTGTTTGACTGACTCCTAGTAGTAGGTATGGAAATGTGGGAATGAAAGAGGTGGGACTAGCAACTCTACCCTGTAGAAACAACACTACTACTACTGGCACTTCTAGACTTATAGATGGAAGCCCTATATTCCACTTGGTACGCAAAGGAATGCAAAAACAATTCACTCGATATGGGTGGGTCTTTGATTGTATTCAAGCTTTAAGTTATACTTTAACGAGTGTGTCTCTGTATATGCGTGTTTATTTTGCATATCTAAAGTGTTGCATCAAAACGTGTCAGGAATTTTAATTCTACCGCATAGTATAACTTACGGACAGCTGTTGAGGACAAACATCAAAATATTGACAAACAATAATTCTTTTAGCATTGAAATAAATTTCCCCTATATTTCATAAAATGCCTTTGATGTTATTCTTATTTGGTAAAACGTTAATTATAATATATTCGTATCTTGCACAAAAGGGATAATACAGAGTATTTATTTGTCTCATTTAAACAAAAACTTGGCACAATATGTGCACCAGATGATACGTTTTATGAAAATACATTATGTGAAATATAAATTGAATATTTAAGGAAGTTTAGAGTCTACCCAGGGAGTCATTTATTGGAAGGGGGGGGGGTGAGAGGACGAAGATGATGCTTTAGTGTTTATGTTTGTCTCAGTTAAATCGGAATCAGTTGTCTCCAGAATACAAGAGGTTTTTTAATTGCTTTAAGTTTCAAGTGGAACAGAGGTCTTCAAGAGAGGGCCTTGGAGTTTCAGTAGCAATGGTTTTATCTTCATGAGGTGGGGTTGCTAGCCTCACGCCCAACCTTCCCGCTTTACCAGCCTTACTAGCGACTTAGTGAGATTTACGGGGACTGAACTCAGGAACACATGCGTGGTCGGTGAACATTCTACAACTGAACCAGCGACCACTTAACATCTTTCCAAGAGCCAAATAATAATCCTATATTTTTTTATTATTAAGTTCGGAAAACCAATTTCAAATTCGCATATCAGTCACACTACAGGAATTAATGGGACTTAGTACCAACATGTATAAATTAATCACTACAATCGAGAATACAAGAATTAAGCGCTAACTACTCTATTATTGATCCAGTTTTTTTCTGTTGTGTGAATTACAAGTGTAAACTGGATTACATTTCTGTTCATCAAGGCAATAGATTGTTTCACTGTATTTATGCGTGGTGATATGTAGTCACCTTTTAAGGTAAATGATTCACTCTTATATCATTGTCATTTATGCCACACTCTTGTTTATTTTACAGATTACGAATTCACCGAATCCTCCTGTGTTATGCTCGGCTTCAGTGAGTGTAAGTGGCATTCGTCCACCCAGTGGTATCAAACCACCGTCTATTACTCCAGATAAAATAAAATTCTTATTCACACCAGTACAAATGGTAATGCTACTACTAATGGACATACAAATTCTACTCCGAACACATCATTCACTTCTACATACGACGAATCAATAAGTAGAGTACAACAGACACCTGAACCTTTAAAAAGAAATGGTTCCACATCAGAAGACAATTTAGAGCATCCAATAAATACTGGTAGTAGTAAACTGCCTAAGCCAATTAATAATATACCCTCACCGACTCCTGGAAGCTTTCAATCGAAAATTCGACCACCTGTATCAGGCAATTTGCCTACTATGAAATCTGGAATACCTGCACCATCTGTACTGCCACCGTCTATCAGTCAAACTACCATTGGACAATCTCATTTACCTATACCAGCGAATACGACTAACATTCCTCTGCCTAGTGGAATTAAACCACCGTCTCGTTCACCAAGATCTGCTTTGGCTAAGGTAAATGGTTTTTTTATGAATTTATTTTCGATTATTGACTAGTTTTTCAATATGACTATTATTTTCATAAAATTCATATGGGGTAGGTATAATAATATTTAAAGAAGTGTACCAGATATTTTCAAGCTGACATTTAAAGTTTAATGCAAAACAATTAAACACCTTTGTTTTGTTGTATGTTTAGACTATAAAACTCCCAGGTGACATTTATCCTTTTTTTATGCATACATAATGTTGTACAGCTCTGTGAAACTTTGTACACATATTTTCTTTTCAGTCCATATAATCAAAGAGTGTTTTCTTAAATGGCCAGTTCATAGGCTTATGCATGTGACAATATTGATATTTCGTTTGCCTGTCACACCAGTACCGAAAACTAAAGGATACAAAGAACCTCTGAGGACAACTAATCCCTGTCAATAATAAGTTATTTCATTCACTGTAATACCATCCAGCTGACATCAGTTAAACAACTTGGTACTTATTTATTTCACGGGATGGAAAGCGATTATTGCTGCAAAATTAACTGACTGCATATTAGGATATATTACATTGAGTCAATCCAGTAACTATTCATTCCATTACGTTTCAGAAGAAAACTATGGCTTCAAGCTTTATCTTTGAAGTTTTAGCATCGATATTTTAGTTTTACAGGGAAAGATCACTAGCCTATCTTTACCAGATTTAGCACTGGCTAAATGAGGTTTAATGAATGTATTAGCTTGAATTGGAGCCTGGACCACGTGTGTGGTTGGAGAGTGTTTTACCATTGAGGTGCGGTGAAACTAGTCCTCGTGTCTGTCAACCCCTACCAGTGAACAGGCATCTGTATGCTTCGCTTGAACATTTAAGCAACTATCACACATTCAGATCATACGTACACAAGATATAAAATCATGTGCGTGTACCGCCATTTGTGAAGCCTCTAGGCACTGATAGAAGTCTGAAGTTTGACTAGTAAGTTAATTAGGAGGTTTGTTACTTTGTTTGTATGTATATAAGATGCTTGAGAGTATCGGCCTAAAGAAAATTTCATTATAAAGCTTTCTTCTAACACAGTTATGCGTATGTGTGTGTAAATCGTCACATTACCAATTTATAATTATTATGAAGTTTTGGATTTGTACGGATTTTGTTTGATTGCATGAAGGATTTCATCATGAGCTGACATCAGTTAGAGAACCTTTGGAATATCGTGTTATGTGTGCTACTGACAAGATTTGTCAGTAGTATGTAGATGCAGGCATAAATATGCATATCATTTACAAGAGTATTAATTAGCGAAGAGAAGAAATGAACGATACTTGTGAAACAACATGCAAGACATGAAAGGAAAGCAAAGAAGCACAATCACTACCAAAGACATGTGGTAGACGTATTTTGGGTTCATTGAGTAGTCACAGTAAATAATTCCGTTGCCAAATAATCTTGTACTCTGCCGTTACAATAGTTTCTGTTTTTCGTTTCGAGTATTTTATTATACTTTAAAATTCATTTTTACTATTCTAAACATGTTTAACTGCCTAATCGGTGTGTTTTTCTTTTGGTTGTTATTTGCCTACATTTTAGTAATGCAAAGGTGGTGTCATGTCCACTGTCTGTTGTGATTCGTTCAAATACACATATTCACTGATTATCCATCTCATGTATACGCTGGACAATTAACATTACTCTAACAAAGAGCAAGTTGTGTTTTACAGCTACTCATCATCTAATTCTTCTGATTGATTATGCTCAATGATATTTTATTGTTGTTGGCTGGTTACGTTATCTTTTGTCTTTGGAGAGAAAAATGCCACTAGACTTGTTCATCCCTGAAGATGGTGATGATGATGATGATGATGTTTTTTATACTTCAGAATAAATGATAAAAATATCCTATATTCATTTACTGGCATCATCGCCCACCTACTCCCCCTCCTCCTCACCACATAGTAATCATTTTATGGGTTATTATTATTATTATTATTATTATCAGTACTATAATTATTATGCCATACTATAATATCAAAGTTTTTCACCTCAAAGGTAATATTATACACATAAGAAGATATTTTCTATTAATCAGTATTATCCTATAATATACATACACCTTATGTTTGTGTGTTTGTATGTATGTGTGTGTGTATACAGATTTCGTCTTTCGTGACCTCAACATTATTTTCATTTTGTTATGTACACGTTTTTGTTTTAATCTCCTTTATATACAATAATATGACATTGATCATTGAACGAATTCATGTTTTTTTTGTTTATTTCGTTGTTTCGTTCTGTTTTTCTTCTTCCTTTTTTCTTTCAATCTACTGTATGAATACTTGTCATTTAAAAATAAACGAAAGGTAAATAATTCTAAATTATACTATGACTTTTGCATATTTTCATGCAAACGTTTAGGGGCAAAAAACATAGGCGAAATGATACCATCTTCGTTTTCTGATTACTATGTATTTGCCGATATATATCCATTGTTATGCGGACGGTTTTCTGTGCGTTTATGAGTCTTATTATTATTATTATCATCCAAAATCCCTTTATGATAGTTTGCTATTATTATTTCGTTTGAGAGGTTGGTTTTATAGGTAGTTGGTTAGTCGTTTCTGTATTCCCCTGAATCCCTTTCTATTCATCATTGTGCGTGTGTGTGTGTGTATTCAGTATCTTTTCTTCTTCGATGTCAATTTATAGTATGTTGCCTTTTTCTATTGTAAATTGTAAATTTCAATGGTTAACATTCATACATACATTTTAACTGACTAACATTTTTTTTTATTAGAGCATATGGACCAAGAAACAAACAAACAATCGAGTTATCAGTTTTCTTTTGTTATTATTATTATTATTATTAATATTACTTCATTGATATTAGTTTTTATTGTCTTTGTAAAGTCGCGGGTGTTGAATTTTCAGTGATTTTTTTTTACCTTTATATTCATATATGACAACTTCACTTCCTTGAAACACTTGATAGTTGCGCTAACGATTTCCCTACCTAGTTGATTTGCTGACCTGTTGTTCTAACTACCGTTAGCAACAATATTAATACGATACCACGGGAAACGTGATGCAGAAAAAAACAAGTAGAGAAAACAAACCGTTGACATGCAGAGCTTTTACTGTCTGTTATCAACTGCGGAAATGTTTGACAGTGCTTGTCTATATTTATATTGCTTTAAACGACTTTGAGAGGCACCATATCTGTTTGTTTGTTTTCGACATAGAACTTTGCACATATGTGTACCAGTTTGAGTCGTCACACGTCATGTAGCACACAAAGTAAGAGAAGAAAGTAGAAGAAATGCATAATAGAGACAGTAAACAGAGGTGTGAGACAAAGGAATAGTAGTAACGAAGAACAAATCATAAGTCACAAGGAGTGGATGCATCTGCACCGGCGATTGAGAACGATTTTGAGCCATATCACCAATTGTTTCCAGCCATTGGTTTTTGTCGTCACGAGGACCTCAACCAGTCAGGAAGTCTACACCTTCCTACGTGGCCGGCTTAGACTAACTGTTGTGGATTTCATTGACTGATGAAGCCATGTTTTGGTTTGGCCACCACTGGTTCTTTTCTAGCCTGACCCTATGTCATCTAACTTTGCCTGTCGAGGAGGGCGATGACTAGGACAAGTATGCGTAACACATGTCCTAACCATCTCAATGGGTGTAACTTCACACCCTCGTCGATTTATTTCCCCTGTTTACCAAGAACTCGACGCTTAACCTCAATATTGCTCACCTTATTATACCACCTCACACGGGAGATAGAACGCAGGCATCTATGATCGAAGACGGATAGTCTTTTCATGTTTTCCACTCTTAATGGCCAGGTCTCGCTCACACCCATAAAGGAGGAGGGAATAGGCACCATGGACATTGATCAATTAAAACAGCCAGCAATCAATAGGATTTCAAGACCATAAGGGGGTTGAAGGAAATACAAACCAGATATAAAGATACGTGTATTATTTCGGGAAAATTATATGTATATATATATAACAGAAATTGAATTAATTGTGATACGCAAGAGACATATTGTATAGTAGAAAAGATGTCAAACAAAGGCTGACTTAGCTTTCACTAGCTACCAGTACATATGTTACAAGCGAGATGTCTGATTTCTAGTGATGGCTGTAGTGGGCGTATCTACAGGCTGGGTAGGAATGCATGATATTAAACTGAACAACAGTAATGTGAGGTATTCAAGTATCAGTATGTTACATTTATTAAGAATAATAAAGTATCAGAGTACACAGTTACTTATGGGCAAAGTTAAGTCTACTGGATACAAATCTAATAATATAATCCACAGGTGTTCACGTGTCTTTTATTTCGATCATTCTTCTCCACTTTAGGATTTTAACTCTTCTGGTTAATTCTTATATCGAATGACTGACTGACTGAAAGTATGTGGGCAGTTATTGTTACCTCTTGGGCTGCCCACACCATGGAAGTTGATTTTTTCTTGGGGTGTCTGAAACAGAATTAGTGTTGCGTGACTGCAGAGTCAAGGGGACAACTGTTTGAGACCGGTCACATAAAGCCTGTTTTAACTGGATTTTAGGTTTGGTTCCGTATTAGTTATTTACCGCTAGCAGGGAAAATCGGGATGTATAATTTTGGGGTCGACTTTTTCTCTTCAGAGTGGAGAAATAGCATCGGTGGCATGCTGATCATCTGAGGTAAACACCTGACTGCTGTTCACCCCTTACCCCCAACAGTACGACTTTGCCTACAGACCTCTAGGCTGGTAACTCCTTTTAGTCTAACCGTTATCCTAACAATCTTCTTGGCACAGTAGGATCTACAGGAACACTAGTTACAGTCAGTGTAGCTTGGTGGTTCATTGCTATATGCAAGCATGACCACCACATCCAGGTAGCAGCTATCGGTCGGGTCTTATTTTGGACGACGATTTCCATTTTCTGTAAGTTCATAAAAGGTTGATATGGGTTATAATAATGGCATCCTGGCAACTACAGTTAAGGAAACCTCAAGTCCAAACGCGTGTATATTATATATTTATCCTATAAAAATTTTATTTTCGTAGTGTCTATGTATCAGGATAACAATGTTTGTTTTACCCAATGGATAAATGCAATATACTCATAGAAACGAATGTTATTTTCAACAAAAAAGCCATACTTATTTATATTTCCGTCCTCTACATTGCTTGAGTGTACTTTGAACAATTTAGTGAAGTGCAGGAATTCATTAAATTGCGATTTAACTTACTCTTTAATGTCGATGGAACTCGTCAAATGAATAGAACTTCATATAAAACAAACGTTCAAGCATAACATGAACCGGTCAAATGGGGAAATGTTTTTCGTCAAGTTCCTGAATCATACAAAAGTATTGAATTTATATCAGCGTTAAGAATTCAAATTTTGTGCTGCTGCTGGATATCTACACACTGACTTCAGGGTGATGAACGTTAGCCCCGCTATTAGTTTACTAACTGGTATGTAAGTCTGGTAAAGAAGGAATTTTACTCGTGAAGTTAGAAACCCTGTAGAGGACTTAATACAGAGCGCGGTAAACGTACAAAATATCAAAATAAAAATCCAAATTAATGAAAGAATATTGAAACAGTATATTATACGAAATACAGTTCATAAGTTATAGAAATTAATGGTTACTTGATGATATGGTCACAGACCGCTGTTACAAATTATTATGATATAATCCACAGAAACATTCACTGCTGGGAATCGATATCCACTAGCAGAAGCTGTGTACTAGTTGTAGAATAGTCTTCAGATGAGTATGATAGGCTCCTGCAAATTCCAAAAGATACAACACGGTTAGCAGCGAAACGAGTAGGCAGTATAGTTCAATGAGAAGACGAACAGCATGCTGTATTTTTATTTTGTCCCAAACTTGTCTGTACTTTACAATGAATCGTTTCAAACAAAAGTGATGCACAATGTTTGCATTTGTAGCACCTAACAAAACACTGTACAATCATATTGTTCCAGACGTCATAACCCCGCTGCATTGAAGATAACCTTATTGTTGCTGGAACTTCAAAACAAAAAAAGCGGTTAGGACACTTACCGACTATGCACATGGTCCGGGGTTCGATACCCGGCCGACAGACTCCTTTACCGTGCTGAGCCAGAAATAATCCTGGTAAAGAGGAAAGGTTGGGCATGAGGCTAGCAACCCCATGCTGTAAAAAATAAACACTGCTACAGAAACTTCAAGCCACTAGCTTGAAGCCCTATGTTCCACTGGGGAACTTGAAGGAACAAAAAAGAATGATGAGTTGAAAGTATCTTACTGTATCATCATTATTACTGCTTTCTTTAGTTCCTGGAACAGCATAGGGCTTCAGCCACACGTCTCCATTGCGTTCGGTCCTCCGCCAACGTTTTCACCTAGCTCCACGTCTGCCCACATTCATCTCTTTGCATGACTTCCTTCATGTCACCCTCGCACTGATGATCAACTCGCCGCTTCCTATTTGGGTTACACTCAAGCAACTGTCAGGCGTGTGATGCACTTGAGAGTTTTCTCAGAGTATAGCCAATCCACTTCCTCCACTTCCGTATAACATCAAATGACCTT